GTATTTAAACGGAAAGATTTCTAATCGAAATACAGAAAAAAAAACTGAAAAATTATTGTTTTGGAAAGATATATACCTTCATGTCTTCGAAATAATGTGTGTACGTGTGTACAATGATTTTCTTCGTTCACATAAATGGATGTATTGATTGATATCACATTGAATTGTAATGAGATCAAATAGATTCTAGGTTCTAAATGAGAATAGAACTTGACTATGATGATTTCAGGTATCGTAGCTGAACTACTGGTATAATACAAAACGTTAGGTAGTCGAATAAAAGTACGTTGATAAACAAGAATGAGATCAAGCATAGAATAGTCAATATCAAAATATTGAACAACAATACCTCGATATTCGATACTGGCATCGATGGATAAAGTGACTGATGGTTGAATTAATTGACAATGTTTTCCATGATAACCAGGAGTGCAATGACAAAAGAACTGTTTCGGCTTTCCTGATGGAAAACAAGTACCGTGATTTTGGCAAGGATTCGAATTGCAAGCATAATGTATCAAGTGACACCGTGAGCCATACCGACCTAGCGGACAAATACAATAGGGTAATCTATTTCCACTAAGCAAACCTCGATAGTTCGGCTTGCAAATAGCATTTGGTGAACAGTATTCACCCATACATATTGTATCAGCAATGAAACAATCTTGCCCTGTGTAATTATTTGGACAAAGACAGACATAAGTCGAATTTTGATTGACAATTGGATGACATTCTTTATGTTTGCCACAAGTATTGCTCAAACATGGATTTGTCATATTGTTCAGTTTGATCAATCGTAGTACTTTGGTTAGACGAAACACTGGCAAAAAGTCAAAATAGATCAGATATTGCCACACAGCAATCAATCGAGCCTTCTTGTCAATGCCTGATAGTTCATATCCTTCAATACGCAATGAAAAGGGATGTACATGAATAATATTCGACCGATTGAAGTAACGTTCTCTCTTTGCTTGTAGTGATTGATTTGTACGAGAGTAGAGAAAATACATGAATTCTTTCTTGTAAGTACTCTGTTCCATAGCTGGTCGAACATGAAATTCGTCGATGCCAAGTGGCTGATTGTCGTACAGAAACAGAACAAGAAATTTGAGCATTAGTGCCGGATGAATCCATTTAGTGTAGATTGACTCGGACAGATTGACATGTAGAATGACCGATATACGGTCATTGTAATATTGACACTTATCGCCATAATATTGAGGAGGACAGAAACAGGCAATTGTCCCATTGAACATGGTAATACCGACGCCACGATTGCAAAATTAGGCAATGATGTCAGATGAGAAATTCGATGGAGCTCCAGCCGGTTGTCTACTTTCTACTATGGATTCGGTCACTTTTGAGAATCGAGTAGTATTGATATTGATCGGAAAAGTTGATAAGTTTATGTTTTGATTTGTGTAACGCATGACAAGTTCCTTTTTTGTACGATAAACATAGCTGTTCCCTTTGTCATGAATGAAATTGGAATCATCACATAAATATTCATCTTCTCCGTACGAACAATCATGATTCTCATCGCACCATCCATCTGTTGCACATTGATCATTCCAGCATCTAAAATCGAACTCTTCTGAACAATTCTCGTATTTCGCTAGATTGTCGCAAATCAATTGATCATCTGACTCGTCAGGACAAAAATCTCTGCAAATATCGTCGTAATCAATACAAGTTCCACTTGACAAACACTTAAAATCATGTCCGAGCATGGTTGATCGACTACAATGTTCCAATGTATTTCGCTCATCCAAAGCACCAATACAATCAACATGTCCATCGCCAATTTTATCGAGACTAAGACATGGCCGAGTGTACGTCATATTGCCTAACATGTATGATATGTTAACTAAAAAACATGGAAATTCCTTTTGAACATTGCAAATATTCCAGAATGGTTGACGACTATATAGCTTTTTGAATTTTCTTTCTATTATGGCACGTTTTATTATCCGGGAGTTATGGGGAGAGAATGCATTGTTGGAATGGAAAATGGCCTCTTCGTCTGAGGCATCTGAGCAATCCCATTCGCCGTCTAAAACCCATGCTGGATCAATACATTGCCCTGTGCGACATTTCCATTGATATTGGCGACAAACTGACCATGCCGAGCACATCGCCACATTCTCATCCATTTTTGAATGGAAATTCCAGAAAGTATCACAATAGAAATGAAAAGGCATTTTGTTATTTGATCGAATTTCCACAACTGAATAATTATCGTTATCATAGATCCATGAGTCTTCGATATATTGACGGATCTTGCCACAATCGACTGTCGATTGTTTATTGCACTGCATCTTCGACAAGGGCATGATTATTCCTCTCCACCATTCATCAGAGTTATTGTCACAGTCACTTTCTTGATCGCCGAGAACATCAACTTTCAGACAAGTTGGTTGTTTGATCGAACATCGAAAACGATAGTGTTGCATTTTTGAACATGTAGAGGCGACTATTTCACTTTGTTGTTCATCCATTTTATCGTTGCAATTATCGAATCCATCCATGATTCGATATGCAGAAATGCATGTATTCGACTGATTACATATATCGATAAAATGGTACGAACGATTATTGAACGTCAATGAATCGTTGTAACAATATTTGTCGTAGCCGACATTGGTGCTTATAACTATTGAACAATTGAACATTAATTGACAAAGAGATTCTTCAAGATAAGCGAAGTCTAATTCGGCTGAATACGATAAGATTATCTGACAGTTGACCATATATCCTCGACATTTGATAGTTCCATTGATTTGAATCAAATCTGGCATTGAGTTTTCATTCATACGTGTGATATTGTAGAAGAAATAAACATAAGAAGTAACAATCGCACCAACCGGATATTGTACCAATAGTGAAGGACATATATTTTCTAGTTGCCTCCGACAAGTTTCGAAATCGCAGCATGGACAATTGTTGTCTACTCCTTGTGAAAGAGCACATTTAATTAGATAGCTACATCGTTCCATAAGACTGAAATTTCCATTTTGAACTTCTTCATAATCATCTTTCCAATAACATCTTCCATTCGACAATGTCCATAGTCTATCGTTGCCATGTGTTTCACACATGTGAAACTGATCTCGCTTGCTCTGGCATACACGCTCCAAGGCCGTCGATGCCTGAAAAGCAAGACGAGACACAATACATTCGCCATCTCCACATGACCAACGTTTACGCGAGCAGATTCGATCATCACATTCGAAATTAGCCTGTTGCGCGTTGCAAGTCTGATCTTCAAAATTTTCTTTCTCATCCGTCAAATCCATGCAATCAAATTGACCATCGAGAAAGTGTTGATCAGGAATACACATGCCATTGTTGCAACGATATTCATCCTCTTCGCACTCGTTAAATTCTAGTTTATCACAGTTTTCCTCATCATAACCGAATTGACAATGTTGTATGCCGTCACAGATTTCTCGCCAATCGAGACATAGCATACCCGAATCACATGTTAACGTAGTATAACACAAAATATTGCCATACATTTGAAATTTCTCTGGATTATTCTTTTTAATCTCCAATTCCCAGTTAAGTGTTTCTTCGAATGTTGTACCGACTGGTAGAAGATATTCACAATTCTTTCCGAACGATTGTGAATGAGTGCATTCGCACAGATACATAGTTTGATCGTAGATTTCATGTACTATCAAATGCATATATTCTTCTAACTTCTCGATACTTGACTTCCACTGATTCAAGATAGTATCGATGCTCATGTTCTGATGCTGTAGCGACGAGAAAAAGTCTGTGTACCATTGTGATAGCATTGCCGAATTGTATTGTCTCGTTGCAATGGAATAGACCCAACTGGACGACGACAATACAGAAGATTGTTATGGTATAAACAATCGTAAAACTCAAGCTGTAGACTATCCTCAGTATAGTATAGATGAATACTGCTTTCGACCAAAGACCAGATGAAACATACTACGAATGTTTGAGTGAATCGTTTCATGTTTGATCCAATCGATTACTTTTCTTGAATATAATTAATTACTTTCAACTAGCGACAAAATTTTGATCATCTGATCGAACGATTCACATATGCTGTCTTCAGCTATAATGTTAATCTCAAGCTAACTGCATAAAATATTGTTAACAGTATGTCAATAGTAAAGAAAAATAAACCTACAGATACTTACTCTACGCATTAGAATTAGACATTTATCACGTCTCTCTGCAATACTGTGATGAATTTCTATATTATTCTTTGTCATCTCAGACGCCAGGGACTTAGGTTTAGCATACATCGACGTGTGAATGGTGTTGTAATTATATATTCTCTATCATGCACATGTTCAACTAACAAACGGTATGGTTACTGGATCAATTATCAAATGTTTGTTTGAAACTTCATAGACTTCGAACAGATTCCTATTATTAACCATATTTTCAGAAAAGATTGATTGGATATTGATGTATCTTTTGTCACGAGGACTGCCATAGTTGACACACAATCATTCAATCTCTAATCTCTTCTCACATTAAACTCATTTTTTCCATAGACCAGGAACTTGTGAGACTGCTTTTCTCACCATCTATACTTGAGGGTGTGAGGTGTGGGTTGGGTGTGGGTGTGGGGTGTGGGTGTGGGGTATGGGTGGGTGTGGGGTATGGGTGGGTGTGGGGTATGGGTGGGTGTGGGGTGTGGGTGGGTGGGTGTGGGTGTGTGGGGTGGGTGTGTGGGTGTGGGGTGGGTGTGTGGGTGTGGGGTGGGTGTGTGGGAGTGGGTGTGGGTGGGTGTCTATGCAATAGAGATCTACACCCACATCCACCCCACCCACACCGACACCCACACCCACACCCACGCCACCTACACCCACACTCACACCCACACCCACACCCACGCCACCCACACCCACACTCACACCCACACCCACACTCATACCCACACCCACACCACCCATACCCACACCCACACCACCCACACCCACACCCTACACCCACACCCACACCCAAATTAACTCATGTCTTTCCCCCAATATTTAATTCGAGGTAATGACTTTATTAATATTTTTTCGTTATCATTACTTTTATTATTTTATTTAATAGGAGGTGATATAACGAATTTGTAAGTGAATTACAAAATAAAATTTTATTTCATAAATATTCTTTTATTTTTATAAATAGCGATGGTTCGGGTGGTGAATGGTAAACTAACCATTGAAAATATATACATATAATTTATGAATTTTCATTTAGTATTTATGGGAAAACATTTGCTGATGAAAATTTTAACAACAAACATTCCAAATCCGGTACTTTATCGATGACTAATTTTGGTCCGAATACCAATAATTCCCAATTTTTCATAACTTATATTGGACTTCCATTCTTCGATGATACATATGTAAAAAATAGAATGTTTCGTTTTTAATTACTTTTATTTTTTTATTGAAGGTTGTTCTCGGCGAAATTTCAAGTGGCATGGACGTTATTCATGCCATCATGAATCAGGGTATGTTTGAGTTTGACTAATATTATTTTAGTAATAAGCTATGTTTATTATTTTAGGAAGTGCCACTGGTCGACCTAAAACAGATATCATCACCGTCGAATGTGGAACAATCAATGAAAACTAGTATTATCACTAATCGACGATCTTGCCCTATTCTTTCCAGGTTCTTGTTTTTCTTGGTTTTCAGACAAGATTCTTTTTCCATTCCTTCTATACAAGATTCGTGCCTGAAAAAACTGATCTTGCCTTTCTGACAAGATTCGTGTAGACC